GAGACTGCTACTGCCGAGTTACTCATGCACCCGACTCACATTTACCGACAATTCGACCGGGACGCCGCCTTTCCGGTGGGGTACCAACTAACATTTTTGGAGTCAGTCAAACCCCCCGATCCGGGCCTCTACTCAGGTCTATCCTCTTTGAGGCGTACCACGAGTCGCATGCGACCTATTGAAATCTTCTTCTTCTTCTTCTGTTCCTTAGTGGTTAGACTTCCAAAGTAGGAGTATGTACCATATTCTAATTCACATTCTTGAAGACAGATGTCACTAAATTACGCGCTTCGTTCAATCCGTCTGATAATTTCAAACCATCCTTCAGTTTCTTCCTCTTCCAAGCACTTTGATAATTTCCGTAAACACTCTTTCTCATTCGAATCACCACACAATGATTAACCCAACGTTATTATAATGTTATTAACATATTTTTTTTTTCATTTATTTATTTATTTTTTCAATTTTTTTATTATATTCTAATTTGATCTTGTTCAGCCAAAAATTTAACAATAATCATAAAAACATTCAAAGGTTGCTGTATGAATAGTTTTTGAACGTCTTCATCTATAAATAAACCTTTTTTAAGGAGAGATGAAAAAAGGTTAACTCTAATTTGGGAAGGAATCAAAGAGCAGTTCCACACAACATGGTTGATATCCATACACCAATCCCCACAATCGCACGTTGCACTGATGATAATTTTCTTATCAGCTAAATGTTTACGCACCAAAGAATGTCCACTTCTTATACGGTTAACTAATGTAATTTATTTCCTGCTAAGAGACACTTCTTCAAACCATGCTTTTTTAGAAAGTTTCTTTTCACTGAGTTCAAAGTATTTCAGTCCAATCTTTTTAATTTCACTTTGGCGTTGAAGGTGTGTATAGGAGTCCAAATATAATTGTTTCTTTAAATGTTCATTTAATTCTGTCCCTAGACATTTTATCTCACTATTCAATGCTAAATCCAATGAATTCTTAGCTAATTTATCAACTTCTTCATTCCCTTCTATTCTCTTGTGGCTAGGAATCCATATAAAATCTATTTCTAAACCTAACTCATCTAGTTCCCTCATCATTTCCTTAATCCTATAATATAATCTATTATATCCGCTCGTAGATCCTCTAGAAAGAGCGACAATAGAGGACTTTGAGTCAGAACAAATTAAAGATTTCGTAATTTTCCTTTCCGAAATAAATTCCAGAGACTTTTGGATTGCGAATAGTTCCGCATAAAAAATAGTATTAAACTTGTGTAGTTTAAACTGACCTGACATGTTCAATTCCGGGCACCAAAATGCAGCACCTGTACGATCGTCTTTCTTTGATCCATCCGTGTAGAAAACCATTCTTTCTGGGTATTTATTATTCATTATTTGATTGAAGGCGTCATTTGGATTTTCTGCTTTTTGAATCTCAAAGCCATCCGAAACGTTAGAAATAATCTTGTAAATAGTTGATTCATATGAAAATTCGTACATTGCTGGAACCTTAGATGTCTCAATCTCGTCCCACAAGTCTAGACTATGTACCCACACTCTGTACAAGGCATGTTTATAAGATTTTCCCTTATTTGGTGATTTATCATATAATCTTTTCATTAACTTCAGTTTAGGTATTAACATATTATAAAAATTGGTCACTGTTCTCGATAGGTATTTTCTCAATAGGAATCTACGTCTTTCAATCAGAGGGGGTTCACTAGCCAGATGTAATAAAACCGGAATAGGAGTAGTGCGAATACAACCCAGACAGCATCTCAGGGCTGCATATTGAATACGATCAATCTTCAATAAGTCTTCCGATGAACCATCATGATAGTATAAACTCCCCCAATCAAGGGTAGCTCGAACGAGCCCTTTATATATTATTAATAAAGTACTAGGATGACTTCCATAATTTAATCCACTAATCGCCTTCAAAACCGAGATGTATTTTTTCGACTTTTCCAATGTATTCTTTATATGATTATCCCATTTCAAATCCTTGTTAATCCAGACCCCAAGGAATCTGATGCAATCCACCTCCTCCACTACCTCTTCACTCAATCGAATCATAGGAAGTTCATCTTGTTCAGGTTTAGCCTTTTTATTAAACATAATCGATTTTGTCTTAGACTTAGATAGATTTAAACCTCGACTTCCCAACCAGGTATCCCATTCATTGATAGATGCAGAAGATTCCTCTATGGCTTCTTCATATGTGTCGCTCATATTATAAACTACTTTATCATCTGCAAACGAGAGAAATCTCGTCCGTGTACCCACATGAAAACTCATCTTCCTCATATATAGATTAAATAACAACGGGCTCAATATACTCCCCTGTGGAAGACCTCTACCAGTATCAATGGTTTTAATAGCAGAACCTTTATATTCAATGAACAATCTCCTGAATTCAGTGATATTTTTGATAAAGCAGACAATCTCATATGGTACACCTAATTCTTTAAGGTCCTGTACTATAATCTCCGCGATTACATTATCATATGCCGACTCAATATCCAAAAAAACTGCCGAAGTATACTTTTTCCTAAGAAAACCTAAGTTAATATCAGTTACTAATATTGAGATGTCATCATAACAGGATTTATTTTTCCTAAATCCAAAAAAATTTTTAGGAAGTATATTATTTTTTTCACTCCACCAACTTAGTCTGGCATTAATTATTTTCTCCATAATTTTTAATAGACAGTTTGACATGGCAATAGGTCTGAAGGTAGTTCCTCCGGGTTTGGGTATCAAACAAACCGAATATTCCGTCCACGACTTAGGAATCAGTCCTTTACTGAAGAAAAAATTGAATAATTTTGTAATAGTTTTCAATGATTCCTTAGGGAGTTCTCTCAGAATACTATAATTAATCCCGTCAGGTCCAGGAGATGATTTCCTTTTAGAATTATTAATCGCATGAATAACCTC